CCTGCTCCTAGTTCTTATGTTCTTATTATAGTCCTGATTCACTTATGCACTTTTTAGACTTGAGCACGCATTATCATAATTCCAAAAGGTGCCTTAACTCCCCCAAAATAGTCCCTGCACCAGATCAAGAGTACCTTAACTCTCCAAAGGAGTGAAATATAAAAGGTTTCTCCTGTTCCTCACACCACCACCCCATACACTCCCCTACAACCTACCCATGTCTACACATGCAATCTAATGCCCTCCAGCCCTGTGCTATTCTACAGCCCTTTACCCATCAACGTTCCCCTTACGCATCTCCACCAACTTAGTTCTTCAGTCCACCCTGACTCGCTTCATCAACTATGCAAAATGACTGCGTATCCACAAGTACCCATGTACTTAAGGTTAAAAACCCAGTTCAAGGACTTAAAGTCCTACATTGATAAAAGCACATTTATTCATAAAATAAAAACAATCTGGCAGGTTCGAGAAGATTTTTGATCAGTCTTAACAAATTAGCCTGTTCAAAGGTTTATGTATCTTTTATGCTCAATCCTATCTGCAGTCAAAAGGGCACCCGAGTTCCATCCTGAAAGAGTGCCCTACAACCCTCCACTGCCATACAAAAGATCCCTGGCCCCTACTCACATGGTGTCCTGGAATAATATGCTTGGGAGTACCTCAGCTCTACATGATACATGCACTAAGAAAACCTAAGTTTACCTGGTGCACACACCATAACCACTCTCAGCATGAAAAATTATCTACCTCATATGACTTTTGCATCTTTTCCAATTACTTTCAATCTGTGAACTCTTATTTTTGATCCTTTCACAATTGGAAACATTTTCCCTCTGTTTACACCTTCCAAATCTTTTCTGATTGTGTAAACTAGGCAGCTTTACAGCAGAATCAAAATGTTCAGCAGGTAACATTAAGCAGAACTATAATTTAAAAGAATCCCAAACTACGGTTTCATAATATTACGATCCAGTAGTATTTTGGGCAATCATCTATAACAGATAATTAACAATAACTATTTTTCATCACCACAGAAGACAGTTATAAAGGTGCCACATATAACAATTATATAAGCCTCTTCAGTAAACTCTTTGTACCTTATTAAGTACAATTACTTTAATTACTTAATTCTCATTACTCACTGCTTTAAATAAAAACTAATTTCAGAGAACTTGAAGTGTTTATTAAACCACTTTCAGTTTGTTGTATTAAATCCTTCACAGCAGGGTGCCTACATAGTTGAGTCCCTCAGTACTGCAGTATTGACCAACATTGGCAATGCTTACACTGGAATCATGATGTAAATGAGTAATGATATTGTATGCATTTACTCATATTACTCACCCAAAGCATGTAAAGAGCTGGCCATGAATCAAACTGTGGATAATATTACCTCTTTATCCGTCATCTTTAGAACATTCATTTCTGATATGGAAAAATTGCTGGGCTTGGGGTGGTAAGACTGGAGGAATGACATTAGCTGAGTTGCTTCTGCACTGGAAGTTAACAAATTAGTGGGTTTATTAGTTATGAAATAATAATGCAACATAGATACACACAGACTAGGAGTAAGAGTCCAGAAGAGATAAAGGGTATATGCATCATCCTCTCTGAATCACTCTTGAAGAGTAGATAGTGCAAAGTTGGCAGTTGGACATTTAATTTTAAGATTCTTGGCTTTTACAGGTCAATTGAAATCCTGTTTCTTTTTAATTGTGGTCAATTGGCAACAGTCAGTGTAAGACAGTCCTGGTCTTGTTTCCTTCTGACTGACTGACTGACTAAGTGGCTTCTAAAACACAGAGCAACAGGATCCTTTTACCAGCAAAGCAGGGGTGATGCAGGTGAGTCTTTGGCCGTAACCTTGACAGCACAATAGCACTTGAACCCAGGTAATACATCAGTTTATAAGCACACCATCCTCCACTAGCATACACAAACAAACACTGCAGTCAGTTTTTTTAAACCTTTTTTTTATATATCCTGGGAATGGCAAAATGTGTCCTCAAGAAGTGGCTGAGAGGGGACAGATAGTCAACACTTTCATCATCTCTTCTTGTTAAATCTCTCTGTAATGTTTGAAATTTTCCTGACACCTGTGTGACATTCCACGGGTTCCAAAAGCACTCAATTTACATTCACAGACTTTTACTGCCTGTAGCAGTTATATTTTAAATAAAAGCACGTTGAAATTAAATGTTAAAAATGTGTATAGTACTGGGGGCTCTGATCCATCGTTATTATACTTGTCATGGGGATACAAACCCAAGATGAAACTCAGAGAGGAGGAAAACAAAACTGGTAATAGGAAGTGGAAAAGTAGTATATAAAAGTGAGAGGCATCAGAAACAAATGCCAAAGTGAAACAGTAAAGATCCTGAATAATATTTTAAAAAATCATCTGAATGTATGCAGCATTTTCAATAAAGTAAATTAATGCCACAAATAGAAATAAACACGTTTGATCTAATTACCATAATGGACACATTGCTAAAGGGTGATCAGGATTGGAAACTGAATGTTCAGGGATAGCCAACGCTTAGGAAGAGAAAGCAAAAAGTAAAAAGGAGCTGGTATTCTGATAAGGGATGGGATCAGTATACTAGAGAGAGTGGATCTTAGATCTTTGAAGAAAAAGTACCTTTCAAGAAAAGTGACTGTAACATAGTTGAATCTTACATTAACTTTGAAAATAATGTAGGTCAACAGGAAACTCTCACCTCAAGACTAAGCAAAAGGAACCATGAACATGTTAGGGGCAAGTTGCCATGGTGCTTTGGGAAAATACATTAAAAATAGACAAGCAATATCTAGTATGTAAAGAATTAGTAAATTGTTTTTACAACAAACATACATTCCAATAAAGCATAAAATCCCAAAATGAAAAGTGAGTCAAATGTGGCTAAGAAGGAAGCTAAAGATTATTAAATGAAAGGAGGAGGCAAAAAACAAAATGCCCGAGGATTGGGAGCATTTCTGAATTCAGCAAAAGAGGCCCAAGAAACTGCTGGAGAATAGAATATGAATGTAAACTAGCAAGCAACATAAATAACTGAGTTCTGAGGAGGTCATATCACACTCGAAACATCAACTCTGTTTCTTTCTGAAATTATTTCAACAGTTATGAGAGGCAAACAGACTCATCCTATTGACTAACATAAGAGAAAATCAAAGTGTTCTTTTATGCTTTTGTCTTTTCAGTTATCTTGTACACCTACTGTACTATTTACATTGCCTACTTCAGCGAGATGTTGACTTCAGCTAAGAACATAAAATACTTTTGTTTTAGTCAATAATACTGTGGCCAAATGTGCTGGTCATTGTCAAAGAGGAAGCACCCAGTGCCGACTATGATGTAATCTGCCTAACACAGTTTCACACCAGACCTTTGGTACCTTTTGATGCCAGCACCACCTGAGATGGATGGATGGATGAAGAGTTGGGCAGTTAGGTGTCAAGCATAATTTCTGTGCAGCCACTGCTTCTTTCTCATGTCATGAAATGAAGACATTCCCTTAAGGCCTATCATCAGTTCAGTGACTTACATTTTAAATGGAGTTGCCAACATTACTGAACCTCCACTCACTGACAAACACCTCCTCCTACCATTAGAATGCTCACTCCAATTCCCAACAACCTTCACCCTCCACTTCAACCCCTAATAATGTCCAGACCCTCCCCATCAGACAGTGTTTACACACCTCTCTCACTGCCTTTAGTAATCCCCCAACTCCCTGGGTATTCACTCCCCTCCCAATAACACTTGACTGTGTTCACCCCATTCCCTCATTCTTGAGGGTGCTCACATCCTATTCATGCTCCTCAATGGCGTTTATTTCCCTTCCTAAAGCTACCACATACCTCACCACTCAGATCATGTTTCTCCACCTCCTTCACCATGTGAGTGTTTGCCTCCCCCCTCATTTATCTGACAGTGTTCACTCCTTCCCTCAGCCCGTGACAGTATTCAGCCCCTCCCTCACTACATCCTAAGTATTCACTCAGTATAACAATGCTCATTTCTCCTAAGTGCACCTTCCTCACCCCCAATATAGCTTACCCTCCTTCCCTCATCCTATGAGAATGCTCATCCTCCTTTACTCCCCAAAAGACAGGAGACAAGAGCTAGGGTTTATGGAAGGCGAGTCTGAAGAGGAAGGTATGGAAGGGGAAAAAAAACATTGCCATAGAAGCTTTGGTTGCCCTTGTGCTTTGAAACCACAACAGATTCACTCAGAGTTAAGCTGCTCAGCAGCTTTTACTCCTGCTGTGAAAAGCCTGTAAGTAGATCTGTGTAAAAACCAGGGCAAGCATAGGGCAAACAAAGTAAGTCTTCATAGTCCTGGCCATCTCATCGTTCTGTCATAAGTAATATGCAGCAATCCGGGCAAGATGAAAAACGGAATTTGAAGTTTAAATCTGTTCCTTAATTATGAAGATTGCTCATATGATGGAAGTTCCTAAGGTTTCCAACATACATCAGCAATGTAAGTTGAGTTGGAAGCCTCTCCACATATGGTTGGACAAATTTGCAAAGCAAATTAGAAAATTAAACTATCACACTATAAAGAATATCAAATAAGGATAAGTGGAATTGAAGGTCATAACTTAGCTGAAGATTCTGATTCTTCAAATATTTTTTAGATACATTGCATACGGTTTTTCAAAGATTTGCTGTCTCACCAAGACACAAAGGCAAAACCCAGTTTGTAAAGGACAAGCATCAGTTATTTAAGTTCTACCTTAATATATGCCTTTATTTTCATAGCCTTGGAATGTTACGTTTAATTCAGTCAATAACATTTTTTGAAGTGATAATCAACTGCAAATAAATCAACAAATAAAGAAGTGAGCAGCCTCAGAAAAACAGATATCCACTGTACAAAGGAGACACTCATTTTTAAAATAAATAAAATCTTATTGTTAAAGAAATAGCATTTGTATTTTTCTTGGAATAGATGCGTCACAAAAGGGTGTATATTTAATTTTATTCTTACCTTCACACTTTTCCAAGATCTGAACTGTTTCTCCAATTTCTAGCACAAGCGCCTGAGGCACTGAACCTCGGAAACTGCATATCACTGGAGAAAAGGAAACAATAAGTGTGACTTAGGGTTTTGTCTGCAATGAGCATATGAGCTGATGCTAAACAAACCGAAATGAATAACTTTCTGCACAGACCACGTTTGACCATGAATACTGAAAGATAGTTGCCAAAGCTTTTTGTCTTACACTCATCAGAACAAACATAAGAATGCCAAATTTCAAACAAGCACAACAAATTACATTACAGGAGAAAAGTGCACTGATTGGTTGGTGAGTTGACTTTGATTGAACAAGGCATTGCCATGGAAAATGCAACAAAGGCTACAGACTCCCCACACATCCAGGCAAGGCAAAGAATTTATGAAGCTTGAACACATTCCTTTTGTGTGCAGACAATAGTTCCCTGCACATGAATGTATATCACTCTAGCAAGTTTAAATGAACCACCTTGCACATAGCCAACAAAAATATCTTGTGAACTGGGTCAGAAATATCATTGTAAATTTTGAATATTCTCAATAAAACATGTTTTAGATTAAGTTTGAGAAAGTTAGTGACAGATTAATTTAGGGAAAGGATGAACAAAAATTCTATTAGCTTGTATTTGCACAAGTAGATAAAACACAATGGGAGTAACAGGTCACATCATTTTCAACTGCAAAAGTTTGCAACAATCGGTTTTAATTAACATAATCCAGATAACAAAATTCTATTCAAAATTTCTCCTAAAAGGAAGAATTTCATCAATTAGCCTTTTTCAAAATTAACATCAAGGAACTCAGTATTTAAATTCTGAATACTTGCATATCAATTGATTTAAACAAGATAAGATTTTAAACAAACTGGCCCTATAAAGGATTCAAACTGTTCAAGAATGAACAGGTTTGTCCCACATATGATCTGCGGCTAGGAATACACATTAACACTTACAAAACTAACTTTTGCCACATATCTCTAGAAGGAGTCAGACACATTAACAAACTCGACGTCACTCAAAAATAAAGATCAAAAACAACTGGAATAATATGAAATTGCAGTTTGTAGGATCCAGGGACTGGATTTTCAGTCTTCCAAAGCCTTTGTGACAGAATCCAAATTTCCAATTAACTTGTTATTAAGTTCAATTGGAGGTCATTAATGGGTTGGAAGGAAGAGAATCAAGTGAGTGGTGGCAACAGACAAAATGATAAATATGAAAATAAGTTCAGGCAAATGAGGCTCATGATGAATATGGAATGTTGAGGCCCATTCAAGGAAAACAAACCTTCAGCCCTTCCTGGTTGGGGTTTAGGGTAATGAGGATATTTAAATCAATAGGGAAAAGGAGGTTTTTAGGACCAGGGAACTCAGGGAAAGACAGTGGTGAAATCAGTATTGTCACTCATAATCCAGAGGCTCAGGCTAATGCTCGAACATCAAGAATTTCAATTGATGAAAGCTATTTTCTAAATGGTAACTATGACATTATAACTCATTCAGAGATAGTAAGAACTGCAGATGCTGGAGTCCACAGTGTGGAGCTGGAGGAACACAGCAGGCCAGGCAGCATCAGAGGAGCAGGAAAGTTGACATTTCAGGCTCTTATCGAGGGGGCAGCAGGTGGTGGTGTCAGGGAGTTGGTGCCTGGCCTCGGCAATGTAAAGGTCAGTGTGCATTCCTGCAAGAATGCGATCTCCTACTCCCAATTCCTCCACTGCGTCTGTTCCCAAGATGGGGCATTCCACTCCCGCACATCCGAGATGTCCTCCTATTTCAAGGACCATAACTTCCCCGCCCTTGCATACATCTCTTACTTTTCCTGCACCTCTGCCCTCACATCCCCTCCCACCAACAAAAATAAAGACAGAATCCCTCTTGTCCTCACATATCACCCCACCAACTTCCGTATCCAACGTATTATTCTCCACTATTCCGCCATGTACAATCTGACCCCACAACCAAAGAGATATTTCCATCCCCAACCCTATCTGCCTTTTGTAGGGCCTGCTCTCTCTGCGACTCCCTCATCCGCTCCACACTCCCCACTAACACCGCCACTCCCAGCACCGTTCCCTGCAACCGCAGGAAGTGCTATACCTGCCCCTACACCTCCCACCTCACCTCCATTCAAGGCACAAAACAAACCTTCCACATTAGACAGGGGTTCACCTGCACATCCGTCAACTTGGTCGACTGCATCCGCTGCTCCCAATGTGGCCTCCTCTACATCAGTGAGACCAAGTGGAGGCTTGGGGACCATTTTGTAGAACATCTGCGCTCTGTTCGCGACAAATGACGAACACCTTCCAGTCACGAACCATTTCAACTCCCACACCCACTCCCTGGGTGACATGTCCATCCTGGGCCTCCTCCAGTGTCACAATGATGCCACCCACAAACTGGAGGAACAGCAACTCATATTTCACCTCGGGAGCCTAAAGCCCAATGGCCTATATGTAGATTTTACCAGTTTCAAAATCTCCCCTCTCCCAGCCTCATCCCATGACCAACCCTCCCACTCATCCCCGCCTCCTTGACCTGACACAACCGGTCCATCTTCTATCCCACTTATCCGCTCCTCCCACCTCACAGACCAATCCCCACCACTACCTACCTGCACTCACCTACCACCATCCACCTACCTTCCCCAGCCACACCCCTCCTCTCTCTATTTATTTCCGAGCTCCCTTCCCCCTCCCCATTTCGGAAGAAGGGTTCTGACCCAAAATGTCAACTTTCCTGCTCCTCTGATGCTGCTGTGTTCCTCCAGCTCCACACTGTGTTAACTATGAAATTATAACTGATTTTTATAGAACCTCATCTGGTTTACTAAACTCTCCTAGGAAAAGTCTGCCATCCTTACTTGGTCTGGTCTACATATGACCCCAGACCTACAGCAATGTGATTGACTCTTAACTAATAACTGAAATTGCCAGCAGGCTAATCAGTTCAAATGGAATGAGAAATAAACAACGTTGGCCTTTTCAGTGATGAACTCATTCAACTAAAGAATAAGGAAAATAGACTGTTCAAAAGGCAGAGGTCACTCGAAGAGACTCGACTTGTTTTCATGTTTATCACTTTGTTCGTTGACTACACTCATTTGATTCTCTCCCTCACCAATCCATTAATGAGCTCCTAATTGATACTAACAAGTTAACCGAAAGTACACAGGTAGCAGTCACTGGAAGATAGAAAATAGGTTCATGATAGGAAAAAATCAGATCCATGGCGCAGAAATGAAATGATGGTTCTACTTGTTATACTTGAGAGTTTTCGGTCATGTGGGTGACTGCCAGAAGCTCATAGGGAGCCATTATTCAGTGCAGCCCCTGATTTAAAATCTTGAAATTTAAGAAGTCACTGAGGTGTATGCAGTCAGCATTGTGGAAATACCTACTTCAAATAGACTGCAGAAGTTCAAGAAATTAGCTCACCACTGCTTTCTCAAGGGCAACAAAGGATGGGCAGTAAATGCTGGTCTGACCCATAAGTTGATTTTTAAAAGATGGCAAATAGTAATGGCTAATATATAAAGAAATAATTCATAATTCTCAATAAATGTATAGATCCTCAAGGAATAAAAATTCTATTGGAAAAACGGTTCCATTTTGATAACTAGAGAAGAACATTATAAAATTAAAAGAAGCAACTTATATTGCTGCCAAAGAGCAGCACACCTGAGGTTTTAGAGAGAAAACTGTGAGAGAGTAAAGGAGCAAGCACTATAAAAACAAATATAAAATTATCAGATCAGTTATGAACTGATCGAATGGTGGAGTAGACTCAATGGGCTGAGTAGCCTACTTCTGTTCCTATGTTTTATGGTTTTATTGTCTACAAGTGTAGCACAAATAAATTTGCGTCCCCTAGAGCAAAAAACGAACTTTTGCTGGGGAGGAAGGAAGCAGCAGGGGCAATGAACAAGTATTTTATATTTTCACAGTAGCAGATAGCAAAAAAAAATGGAGTTATGGGAAATCATGTATCCAGTGAGATTCTATTTCATATTTTGACTCCTCCCCCCCACCTCCTTTGAGTAATAGTGGGCAAGTGTTGGTAGGATTAGCTGGCTGAATATCAAGCCATGCAAATTGCATCACAAATGTTCTTTCGAGGCCAACAAATCCTGCAGAGGGTCTTGAACCCAGAGTTTTTGGATCAGAGGCAGGGACACTACTGACTGAACCATACAATCACCTCTAATGAGTATGAGACAAGTAAAACAATTAATATTAGTTAAGGAAAATGTATTGGAAAAATTATTAGGACTAAAAGTCAACAAATCACTTCAACCTGATATTCTACATCCTAGGGCTTGAATAAACATTGACTGCTGTTACAATCCCGGGTCAAATTACCAAATTTATGTCACAATATGGCTAGGGAGCAGTAAATTTTATTTCTTTTTAAATAAAGTGTGAGAACTAGAAGACTAAAAGAATAAAGCAACAAGATTTCACAGTTTTGAACAATCAAAAATAAATTTACTCTGTCAGAACTATAATACAATCGTCAGTATAGGTACTATTTACATTCTAACACACATAACTAACAATGGTTCATATGGACACTGGGATGTGGGCATCGCTAGCTGAACCAGCATTTATTGACTATCCTCTCATACCCTTGAGAAGATGGTCAGCTATCTTCTGGAATCACTATAATCCATTTGATGTACATTGATCCATAATGCATTTGGAAATGGACTGCCCGTATCTGAGGAGTCGTGAATGATGAACACTCGGCAATCATCAGTGAACATGCCCACTTCTAACGTTATGATGGAGGGAAGATCATTGATTAAGCAGCTGAAGAAAGTGGTGCCTGGGACTCTAATCTGAGGAACTCCAGCAGAGATATCCTGGAGGTGAGATGACTGACCTCCAATAACCACTACAATCTTCATTCTTATCAAGTATGACTTCAACAAGCGGAGAGTACTACTTCTGGATTATTTTGAGCTCTATTTTTGGTCACTTGCATTCAGATGTGGGCTATTCCAACCAAAACCCAATTCCACTCCACTCAGACATATTGAACTATTAGCAGCACA